GTGGGGCCACGAAACGCTGTGCTGGGTGGGGGTGGCGCATGCGGGCGGCACCACTGGGGCCTTCGGTGGAGCTCCCTGTGGGGCCACGAAATGCTGTGCTGGGGTGGGGGTGACGCATGCGGGCGGCACCACTGGGGCCTTCGGTGGAGGTCCCTGTGGGGCCACGAAACGCTGTGTTTGGTGGAGGTGCCGAAATGGTGTGCGGGACGCATGCGAGCGGTGGCACTGGGGCCTTCGGTGGAGCTCCCTATGGGGCCACGAAACGTGTGAGGGGTGTGCCGAAATGGGTGTGGGGACGCATGCGGGCGGCAGCACTGGGGCCTTCGGTGGAGCTCCCTATGGGGCCACGAAACGTGTGAGGGGTGTGCCGAAATGGGTGTGGCTGACGCATGCGGGCTGGGGCCACGAAACGTGTGAGGGGTGTGCCGAATTGGATGTGGCTGACGCGTGCGGGCGGCGGCACTGCGGCCTTCGGTGGAGCTCCCTATGGGGCCACGAAAGCGTGTGAGGGGTGTGCCGAATTGGGTGTGGCTGACGCATGCGGGCGGCAGCACTGGGGCCTTCGGTGGAGCTCCCTATGGGGCCACGAAACGTGTGAGGGGTGTGCCGAATTGGGTGTGGCTGACGCATGCGGGCGGCAGCACTGGGGCCTTCGGTGGAGCTCCCTATGGGGCCACGAAACGTGTGAGGGGTGTGCCGAACTGGGTGTGGCTGACGCATGCGGGCGGCGGCACTGGGGCCTTCGGTGGAGCTCCCTATGGGGCCACGAAACGTGTGAGGGGTGTGCCAAATGGGTGGGTTGACGCATGCGGGCGGCAGCACTGGGGCCTTCGGTGGAGCTCCCTATGGGGCCACGAAACGTGTGAGGGGTGTGCCAAATTGGGTGTGGCGACGCATGCGGGCGCAGCCACTGGGGCCTTCGGTGGAGCTCCCTATGGGGCCACGAAACGTGTGAGGGGTGCCGACTGGGTGTGGCTGACGCATGCGGGCTGCAGCACTTTCGGGAGCGGGGCAAGCGTGACTGGACGCATGCGGGCGCGGCACTGGGGCCTTCGGTGGAGCTCCCTATGGGGCCACGAAACGTGTGAGGGGTGTGCCGAATTGGGTGTGGCTGAGCATGCGGGCGGCGGCACTGGGGCCTTCGGTGGAGCTCCCTATGGACCAACGGTGTGGCTGGGTGTGGAATGGGCTGACGCACGCATGCGGGCGGCCACTGGGGCCTTCGGTGGAGCTCCCTATGGGGCCACGAAACGTGGGAGGGGTGTGCCGAACTGGGTGTGGCTGACGCATGCGGGCGGCAGCACTGGGGCCTTCGGTGGAGCTCCCTATGGGACCACGAAACGTGTGAGGGGTATGCCGAATTGGGTGTGGCTGACGCATGCGGGCGGCAGCATTGGGGCCTTCGGTGGAGCTCCCGATGGGGCCACGAAACGTGTGAGAGGTGTGACGACGATGGTGATGATGACGATGATGGTGGGTGATGACGATGATGATGATGATGATGATGATGATGATGATGATGATGATGATGATGATGATGATGAGGATGACGATGATGCTGATGATGTTGATGATGACGATGATGATGATGCTGATGATGCTGATGGGAGGAGGGGGGAGGAGGAGGAGGAGGAGGAGGAGAAGAGGAACGCGGGGCACCGTCTCTTCAAAACGAGGACCCAACACCACAGGATGGTTAGGAAAAAAAGGCGTTTCCGCCTGCGGCTGTAAAAAAAATACCCTGGCGAAGGACCCAACCATGTGCAGTTGTGAATATCGCATTGCGGGTGCCGCTTTCGGTGGAGCCCCCTGTGGGGCCACGAAGCGCTGTACTGGGTGGGGGTGACGCATGCGGGCGGCACCACTGGGGCCTTCGGTGGAGCTCCCTATGGGGCCACGAAGCGCTGTACTGGGCGGGGGTGGCGCATGCGGGCGGCACCACTGGGGCCGTCGGTGGGGCTCCCTGTGGGGCCACGAAACGCTGTGCTGGGTGGGGGTGCCGCATGCGGGCGGCACCACTGGGGCCTTAGGTGGAGCTCCCTGTGGGGCCACGGAATGCTATGCTGGGGTGGGGGTGACGCATGCGGGCGGCACCACTGGAGCCTTAGGTGGAGGTCCCTGTGGGGCCACGAAACGCTGTGTTTGGTGGAGGTGCCGAAATGAGTGTGCGGGACGCATGCGAGCGGTGGCACTGGGGCCTTAGGTGGAGCTCCATATGGGGCCACGAAGCGTGTGAGGGGTGTGCCGAAATGGGTGTGGCTGACGCATGCTGGCTGGGGCCACGAAACGTGTGAGGGGTGTGCCGAATTGGATGTGGCTGACGCCTGCGGGCGGCGGCACTGCGGCCTTCGGTGGAGCTCCCTGTGGGGCCACGAAAGCGTGTGAGGGGTGTGCCGAATTGGGCGTGGCTGACGCATGCGGGCGGCAGCACTGGGGCCTTCGGTAGGGCTCCCTACGGGGCCACGAAAGCGTGTGAGGGGTGTGCCGAATTGGGTGTGGCGGACGCATGCGGGCGGCGGCACTGGGGCCTTCGGTGGAGCTCCCGATGGGGCCACGAAACGTGGGAGGGGTGTGCCGAACTGGGTGTGGCTGACGCATGCGGGCGGCAGCACTGGGGCCTTCGGTGGAGCTCCCTATGGGGCCGCGAAAGCGTGTGAGGGGTGTGCCGAATTGGGTGTGGCTGACGCATGCGGGCGGCGGCATTGGGGCCTTCGGTGGAGCTTCCTCTGGGGCCACGAAACGTGTGAGGAGTGTGCCGAACTGACGCATGCAGGCGGCAGCACTGGGGCCTTCGGTGGAGCTCCCTATGGGGCCACGAAACGTGTGAGGGGTGTGCCGAACTGGGTGTGGCTGACGCATGCGGGCGGCAGCACTGGGGCCTTCGGTGGAGCTCCCTATGGGGCCACGAAACGTGTGAGGGGTGTGCCGAATTGGGTGTGGCTGACGCATGCGGGCGGCAGCACTGGGGCCTTCGGTGGAGCTCCCTATGGGGCCACGAAACGTGTGAGGGGTGTGCCGAATTGGGTGTGGCTGACGCATGCGGGCGGCAGCACTGGGGCCTTCGGTGGAGCTCCCTATGGGGCCACGAAACGTGTGAGGGGTGTGCCGAATTGGGTGTGGCTGACGCATGCGGGCGGCGGCACTGGGGCCTTTGGTGGAGCTCCCTATGGGGCCACGAAACGTGTGAGGGGTGTGCCGAACTGGGTGTGGCTGACGCATGCGGGCGGCAACACTGGGGCCTTCGGTGGAGCTCCCTATGGGGCCACGACAACGTGTGAGGGGTATGCCGAATTGGGTGTGGCTGACGCATGCGGGCGGCAGCACTGGGGCCTTCGGTGGAGCTCCCTATGGGGCCACGAAACGTGTGAGAGGTGTGACGATGATGGTGGTGATGACGATGATGGTGGATGATGATGATGATGATGATGATGATGATGATGATGATGATGATGATGATGATGATGATGATGATGATGATGGTGATGGTGATGGTGATGGTGATGGTGATGATGATGATGATGATGGTGGTGGTGATGATGATGATGATGATGATGATGACGATGACGATGATGATGATGACGACGATGATGATGATGATGATGATGATGATGATGATGATGATGATGATGATGATGATGATGATGATGATGATGATGATGATGATGATGCTAATGGGAGGAGGGAGGAGGGGGAAGAGGAGGAGAAGAGGAGGAACGCGGGGACCGTCTCTTCAAAACGAGGACCCAACACCACAGGATGGTTGGGAAAAAGTGTCCCAGGCAGCCCACGCAGAAACGATGCCCAGAGAAGGCATTGACCAAGGAAGCGTGGGAGCATGCAGTGGAACACTAGAGGGATGGCAGCCGTCGAACCAGAGGTCGGGATCTGCCTGGGCAGGCCCAGGAGAGTCAACCGCAGAGGCCGTCTCGGAACTGTCGAAACTTTTGAGTCTCTTGCAGGCTCACTCGGGCCGCTCGGTCATCCCCAGGGACGCGAGGAGAATTGTGCTTCCAAGGCGGCGGCGCGAAGGCGCGATGATGACCGCGCATCGCGGGGGGCGATGCGCGAAGTAAGGCGACCTCAGGCCATATTGGGACCCGCCTGGGGCTATGCTTTGAGGCCCCGCGACGGCCCCGGCTGGCGGGGCTTTGGGCCCCCCTGGCGGACGAGGGCGGGGGAGAGGGTGCGGTGAGCTCGCAGCGGCCGCACACTCGACTGCGGCTGGCCCGATCGGGTTCGACAGCAACATTCCGACGACACGACCCCGAATTGGGGCATGGCTCCATTGTTCTGATCCTCCCAGATGGGGTCTGAGTAGACGGGGTCGGAGGATCGCGCCACCGATCGTCGATATGTCGGCGATGCATCGCCGATGCAGCGCGATCCTCCGACCCCATCTACTCGGACCTCATTGAGGAGGCCTCTAACGATGCGCCTCGATGTTTGCATGGCTCCATAGTGCATCCTGACGCCTCCGATACGATTAGTTTTCAACTCCGTGCAGGTATAGCCCGATTCGATGCCTGCTCCGATCTGGTCCAGTTTATATATACGTCTACGTCCCTGCTCGGCGGATTGATTTGGTGCGTGTTGTCTCCCTCCATCCCTACTGCAAGAAGATCCCCCCGCTGACACCTGAACCCAGTGTCAAACCAGTCGTAATCGTTCACGTGATGTTGTCTTGAGGCTGTGATGGGTACCCAGATTCATAGCAGTGAAGCAGCTACTGCCATTCTCGTTTCGACTGGAACGTCATGTGTGAAAGTGGACGCGATTCGATTCCTCCGCCGTTCCCCTCCAGACGGACTGGCTTTGGCCAGCAGTTTCCCCCCAGCGAGGTCGCAGGTGGTTGCCCGACGCGGCAGTGCCAGGAACCGGCTGCCTCACATTTGGCTTGGCAGCCGCGAGCCGGCCCAGAGGACGCGCTGCAGTGGATCGCCATCGCCCCGCCCCCGCTGTGCTCCTGAGCGGCGGGGCTCCTCGCCGCCGCCGCGGCCCAGCCCGGCGCCAGGGACCTGCTCGTGGTGGACCTGAGGCCGAAGAAGGCAGCCCGTCCGCGAGCGGTGGCCGCGGGGCGGTAGGCTGGGAGGCGGTTCTGGGTTCCGCCCGCGGAGGCCGGTTCGGGACCCGTGCGAGGAGGCCGGTGCGCGTCCCGCGTGAAGGAGGCTGGCTGGGGATGGCCTCGGCGTCGCTCGGGCGTGTGCGCTGTTTCTCTCGGCGAGGACCACCGAGGAGCATCTCCGGGGTCACTTGGCAGAAGAGTTGAGTCGGGCCTGTCCCTCTGCAGGAGGAATATTCAATTATTCACTGCGTGGAGCTCCCCATATGTGCATCTATTCGCATGCACCTGTCCGCCGTGAATGTCTAGGCGCAAGAGCTTTCGAATATAAACGGGCTTCAGTTGTGGCGGTGTGGTCATGAATCTAACTGCGAATGAATTGGAGTGTGAATGAGCCTCAGTAGTACGAGCGCGTCTCTGCGCATGAGCCTGGGGCCTCCTGGGGCCTCCTGAAACCTACTGGGGCTTCCTGGGGCCTCCAGGAGCCTCTTGGGGCCTCCTGGGGCCTCCTGGGACCTCCCAGGGAGGCTTCGTGCCCCAGGAGAGGCCCAATCTATAGCAACCGACGTACATAAAACATTGCGGATTGGAGCCACAGGAGAAGGGCAATCTATAGGAACACACGTAAAGCACCAAGGACTCGTGCCCCAGGAGAGGCCCAACATATAGGAACATAAGTACAAAAAATAGGATTGTGTTCACAGGAGAAGGACAAACTATAGAAACATACGTATAACGTCAAGGATTCGTGCTCTAGGTGAGGCCTAATATATAGGAGCATACGTAAAACACATGGGATTGGAGCCACTCCTGTTGCCTTCTGAGGCCTCCTGCTCCTGGGGCCTCTCGGGGCCTCCTGTTGCCTTCCGAAGTCTCCTGGCGCTTCCTGTGGCCTCCTGGGGCCTCCTGTGGCTTCCTGAGGCCTCCTGGAGCTTCCTGGGGCCTCCTGGAGCCTCTTGGGACATCTTGTGGCCTCTTGAGTCTTTCTGTGGCCTCCTGATGCCTCCTGGGACCGCATGTGGTCCCCAGGGGCCTCCTGGAGCCTGTTGGAGCATCCTGTGGCATCCTGAGGGGAACCTGTGCCCACGAGTCTGGCCACCAAAATTGGCAAATCGAACAAGACATCTTCAAAATCTGGCAACCCTGGGGGGTGAAAATGAGCGCATCGCTAGAGACATCCTCCAAATTTCTGCTCCGAAAGCGACGGATGTTGGCACAGAAAACATGCAAACCGCTTGAGACATCCCCACAAAACGGCCGCGAACGGGACCGTGTCATACCCCTCGGCGGCCCCCCTTAGGGGCGTGAAAATGAGCGCCTCGCTCGAGACATCCTCCAAATCTGCTCCGAACGCGAAGGATGTTGGGACAGAAACAGGCAAACCGCTTGAGACATCCCCACAAAACGGCCGCGAACGGGACCGTGTCATACCCCTCGGCGGCCCCCCTTAGGGGCGTGAAAATGAGCGCCTCGCTCGAGACATTCTCCAAATCTGCTCCGAAAGCGAAGGACGTTGGGACAGAAAACAGGCAAACCGCTTGAGACATCCCCACAAAACGGCCGCGAACGAGACCGTGTCATACCCCTCGGCGGCTCCCCTTAGGGGCGTGAAAATGAGCGCCTCGCTCGAGACATCCTCCAAATCTGCTCCGAAAGCGAAGGATGTTGGGACAGAAAACAGGCAAACCGCTTGAGACATCCCCACAAAGGGACCGTGTCATACCCCTCGGCGGCTCTCCTTAGGGGGGCTGAAACCAGCACCCAGCCTGAGACATCCTCACAATCTACTGTGTGTAGTGAGTATGAGTAGGTCTGAGTATGAGTAGGTCTGAGTATGAGTATGTCTGAGTATGAGTAGGTCTGAGTATGAGTAGGTCTGAGTATGAGTAGGTCTGTGTATGAGTAAGTCTGTGTATGAGTAAGTCTGGGTATGAGGAGGAGGAGGAGGAGAAAAAGAAGAGGAAGAGGAAGAAGGAGTAGGAGGCGTCCAAGTAATAACAAGAACCCCATCGTAGGATATGGGGAAAATGCAGAAATATTATGGGGACGAATTTTCGGTTATCGTTTGAGTATGTTGCGGATGTTTTGAAAGTATGTTTGTATGCTCTCGTCCAAAATGCGCTTGTAGGGGGACATGCCCGACCTAACAAGAGGAGCACGCGCGAAACCGAACAATGCACGGGGTATGGACGTCCGAGCGATGGCAAGGGACGCTGAGGAGGTTGGCACATTCGGGGCGCTCCAGCTGGAGCCCGGCCCCCTAGGGATCTTGGGAGGCCGGCCTCCTCGATTCTTCAGCGGAGGCCCGCAGGCGCAGAAGGAGGGCGGTGAGGGTGAGAGCTGTTCCGAAGGTTGATCGGACCCCTACCCTTAAGTCGGGGTGTCCCTCTACAGGGGGGATGTGCAAACATAGTCAAAAAATTGTCTGGGGACGATTTTTGACTAGTCTTGATTATTTTGAATACTTTAATATTTGGCCCAAAATGCGCCTGTAGGAGGACATGCCCGACCTGACCCTACCCCGGCAAGTCGGTCAGCGAGTTGCCCTGGTGCTCGGTGCTCGAGAGCGGCCGCAGTGTTTGCGGGCCTGCGTCCGCCAGGTCCAGCCCTGGGTCGAGCTTGCTGAACTGAATGTCAGTTTGTTTACTCATCGCTTCGCTCATTCCAACGGCCCACATTGCCTCGCCGCTTGGGGCCGCGCTGGGGCCTCTTGGGGGCATCTGGGAAGCAGTTTTGAGGCCTCTTGGGGGCCGTGTTGGGGCCTCGTTGAGCGTCTCGGGGCGCCTCTTGGGGCCTCTTGAGATGCCTCCTTGGGGGCCCCTTGGGGCCTTCTGGGGGGCCTCTTGGGGTCTCCTGGGGGCCTCTTGGACCTGAAGGCTGGACTTTTCGGTTCCTGGTCCCCGCCTTGGGCCTCTCTTGGGGCCGTTTTGGGGCCATCGTGGGCCATCTTGGCGCCTCTTGGGCTGTCTTGGGGCCATCTTGCCTGGGCCGTCTTATCTTGGGGCCGTCTTGGAGGCTTGGGCCATCTTGGGGCGGTCTTGGGGGCCTCTTGGGCCGTCTTGGAGCGTTGGGAAGCCGACAAGACGAGAAACGTCGTACATACGAAAAACGTACGCGTTCCGGAGGGATTGGGGCGATTTTTTGCGTGTCGGGACCCTCTAGGGACGCTTCTTCGAGGCCTCTTTGGGCGTCTTGGGGGCGTTTGCGGCCGTCTCGAGGTTATCTTGGGCGTCTTAGACCGATCGGTCGGCGACTCGGAGCCCTCTTGGACCGTCTTGGGGACTCCTGGGGCCCTCTAGAAGCGATCTGGGGCGCCCGAAAGCCACGCCCAGAAGGAAAAACCATCTCTGAGTCGGACTGGCTGGGGTACTGTTCGTCCGGGGGTCCCCAGGGGCCGCCACGCGCGCGCGAAATGCAAAGATTGTCAACCTGTTACCGGAGATCTCAGTACGCCTCTGGCCCGTTGGGCCGGCGAATTGTTTGTCCAAGACCATTCGCCCCCCCCCCCGGCGGGAGAGGGCAACGCCCTGCGTTCCCAGGCTTTCTGGAGCCGCTCGCATCTCTGTTGCCCGCTCGCTGCGGGAGCCGGGCGCTCCACGTGGCCGTCTGCCTCTCCATCGGCCCGCTCTCGTCTGAGCGGCCGCGCCCGCCCTCCGCGCGCGTGCCCAGCACGTGGCCTCCGCGTGGTGCCCGCGGCCTCGTGCGGGCTGTCCGCAGGGGCAGAGTCAGGGGGGGGGACGGCTCCGTCGGGGACGCATCGACCCCCAATCGCCCAGTCACCGCCGACGGGGGCCCGATGGCGCACCCCGCCCAGGACCGTTCGGTTCCGATAGCGGTTGCCTATCTTACCAGTCTCGAACGTATCCATATCCCTAAGATTGACACGCCAGAAGGCGATGACAATCTTAGGGATTCGCCCTCAAAAAATAAGGGAGTCCCTAAGATTGGCATCGTGATGAGGAGGTGCCCAGCATAGGGATAGGGAGATGTTCCAGGCTGGTAACGATCGCCGATCTATGCGATGTGTGCCAGAGTCCAAGTCGGTGTTCCCCCCGCTGAGGGCATGTCCCCCCCCCCCAGCCTAGACCCCGATTCCTGGTACGGGTTGCCCGCATCTTAGCCGACTCCTGTCCAGCGTCCGCCCGCTGCTGGAAGCCGTTGTCGCATGCCCTGTGGTGCTCCGCTCTCGTTGCACTATCCATTCGATCAGAAGGGCGCGTGCGTGTGATGCGAGCGGTACGTTGGTGATGCGAACGACACGCGCGCGAGCTAACAGACAAGGCGACCTGGCCCGCAGGGCGCTAACGAATCGGATGGGCGTTGCTGGAAGAAACTCGCTCGAGCGGGGCACAACCACTGGATCTCAGTAGCACTCGGGGTCAGGTGCATGCCAGTGTGTCCTGACGGGCTTCTAAATGTGATACTATTCCAGGGGTCTCATGCGGAGACAGGAGCTGGCAGCCGACGAGTCGAGCTCCCGAGGAGGGACTGGCTGCCATCGATGGCGTCGATCTGCCATGCCAATGGTTGACTGCTCTGTCGAGTGAGCAGAGCGCCAAGCGTGGTGTGCCATATCTGTACGAAAAAAAACACGAATGCACCCCTTCCGACAAAACACTATTGAGTCTTGCCCACCACGCCCCCAGCCCCCAACCAAAGTTGGCCCGAGGAATTGTGCTCGGCAGTCACCGCCGCCAACATTGGAACGGTGGCCGAGGGACCACGGACCACGTGGCCTCAATGCGACCTCCAGCGATCCGAAGAATACCATTTGACCCCATGCCTATTTCTAGTTATCTGACCATCCTGTGGTGTTGCGCCCCCGTTTTGAAAACACAGCGCTTCGTGTTTCTCACCCTCCTGCCTCCTCAACCTCCTCCCTCCCGTCATCTTTGCCTCTGCGCTCCACATGTCAACCAGTTCGGCACACCCCTCACACGTTTCGTGGCATTATTGGGAGCTCCACAAGAGGCCCCAGTGGCCATG